GATTGCATTCTTTGGTCGAGATAAGAATGTCACGCCAAAGAGCTAGGACGTCGAGTCCGGAGCGATGTCGACATCGATTGCGGCCAGAAAGAGGTAGACTTCGAGTGACAACGGCATAGCTTGATAACGGAAAAGGCGAGATATCCGCGATTGGTCAAGGATCGTGGCTTGAATCTCGGAGCGAATCAATCTACATCAGTTAACTAGATGTTAATATGGTTTCCTAGTGTAACCAAGTCGAGGTCGAGGCTTGGCTAGCATACTGGTTTGATTTATTTTATTCTCTAATTTATTCATTTATTTTCTTGCTTATCAATTAGTATTGAACGAAATCACATATCCTTAAAACCACAATATAAGTTTAATTATTATCCGTATTTGAGGTTAAATAAATAAATAAATAATAATAATAATAATAATAATAATAATAATAATAATAATAAAATTATTATTATTATTATTATTATTATTATTATTATTATTATTATTATTATTATTATTATTATTATTATCACTGAATAGGACTTCTAACTCTTGCAAAAGGTAATAAAGAAGCGTAATCACGATCTATTTAGGTAGTAAAAAATCAGTTATTTAGGTCGTAAGAAAATCTTACCTCTCTGACTGAATTGATCCCTTCTTATATTTTCTTCTTTGTTTTTTTCCTACTGTAAGGATCAGAGGAAGGGATAGACTGCATCTTGGCCTTATACTATTCTAAGAGTATCACTAAAACCCTTTTAATTTTTGTTCTACTTGATCAAGTATTTATGATTACTCTACGACTATTATAATAGTGGTAATTTAGGGTACATTGCTCCTCAAAGAAATTAAATGGAGAAGAAAGATGCATAAATCTCATATTCCTTAAAATATTCAATAAATTAAGAAAATTTTAAAACGCTTTCACATGTTTTTCATTTTCTGCCCTCAAATCTCGCCTACAAGAAAAGAACAAGGAAATGATATTTCGAGCCCGTTTGGACATAAGAAATTTTTCGCTTATTTTCGAAATTTTTTTATTTTTTTGCGAAATCAGCGTTTGGTTATAAAATTTTTAATTTTCACTTGAAGATGCATTTTGAAATTTGTCGAAAATTTGAAAACCTCCAAAAGGCTGTTTTTCAAAATTTTCACTCAAATCACTCACAAAATTTTAAAAACAACCAAAAATTATATTCATGCCCAAACACAACTCTCATTTTCAAATACCATTTTCACTTAAAAAAAAAATAAAATTCTACAATGCGTATGTCCAAACGCCCACTTCATGTGTAGAAAGCAAGAATCTTGTAGCGGGGGACCTGATTGAGTAGATATATGGCAGGGAAGTCCAATGTTACTATGACACAACAATTTTTTTTTTTTTTTTTTGATGAAGACTATGACACAACAAGTCACACGATCAAACAACGATGAATAATGACGTGTACTTTAATTTCATCTCAAGACTAAAGACCCATATTGTTCAAATTGTCAACTTTATACTGCATGAAAAATGTTTTTGAGCTACTCTATTTATAGAGTGGTCATTGGTAGGGTAGTGCTATTGAATGTCAAATGTACCACCTAGTCTGGTGATAGGCACGTATAAAGATGGAGCAAGTGTGACTAGTTTCTGACTCCATGCCTATCCAACCGGACAAGATATTTTAGCTATTGATGTTGCGTCTGGTTGATATTACTAGTCTTTTTCCCTACCTACTAAAAATATCCTATCAAGATAGTTAGATCATAAAAAGATGTTTATCTTTTTTATTTTTTTAAAAGAAACACTTAATTTAAGAGTCCCAAACTTAAATGATGCTTTTTTGTACAAAAAGCACTTTTCTAATGTTTTTCAAAGAAAAGGTTACATTAATAGATAATTTGCAGTATTATACTGCGAATTATCAAAAAAAATAATTTTTTTTATGCAATTCGCAGTGTTATACTGAGAATTGCTTGAGATGGGCCCAACTCATTTTTAAAATAGCGTTTCACAGTATTATACTGCGAATTAGGTTAATTCACAGTATGATACTACGAATTAGACTGATTTTACTGTTTTTTGGCCCCACCAATAATAATTAACTGACATAACAATAATTCAAATACATAAAACGCAGTATAATACTGCGAATTACTTTGAAAAATTCTACACCCCAAGCTCGGACTTGCCTTATTTATAGGCGTTTCAATTTTATAAAAATTCATTCAATATTTAAACTTCAAACATACGTTCATTATTCTCTCTTCTCCTTATCAATCATTTTTATACAATATCTGAAGTGCCAAAAATAAGGGTTTCACTGTATTGGGGGGGGGGGGGGTAAGGTTGTGGTGGAGAATAACTCTGTGAGGTATAGCTCACCTCCACAGTGTCATGTTAAATTGCCGCTTAATATGGAGTACGATACATTTGTATCGTTGTTACGTAAAAAAATGAGTGAGCGGAGGCGTTCGGTTAGCCTTAAAGTAACCGGTAGATTTCCTTATTCAGTGACTCCGCAGGGGTTTGCTTATTATTCTGAGTTTAACATCGAGGATGATGAAACTCTTAGAGATTTTTTGCGGATTCCAGATGAATACAGGGAATTTATTGTAATAAAATTATTGGAAATGTACGTCAAGGTGGAGGACCTTCCCAGTAATGAGGGCGTGCATAGCAGGGATAACCCCCAGTCTTCGGGTAGTTATTCTGGAGCAGTTTTTGCCGGACAGATTGCTGATGAAAAAGTTTGCCTTGATTTAAACTTGTCACCACCGGCAAATGAGCAGCCACAAAATAATTTTTCCACTTTATATAATCAACAAGACGACTGGTAAACTTTAATTTTACTACGCTTTAGCGATATTTTTTTTTCCATGTTTTAATTGAATTTGTGTTAACACTCATATTTTTTATAGGGGGTACCGTCCGGATTTGAATTTTACAAGTTATGACCCCGCCCCTAGTTGGAATATGTGTAGGTCTGGAGTATTAGACCACGGTGGTCCATCTGGGAGTCATCACCAACATGAAAATATCCATCATGAAACGTCAAGACAATACGATTTGTAAGTAAAGTGATATAGCTATATCTAAAGTATTTTTCGTGAGTATTGGGTAACTTATGTTTTTGTTCTTTTTGTGCAGTGAAAACGAGCTTCTTGAAGCTCCTGACCTCACACAGTTGCCCATAGACGACGTTTTTACTCGTGATTTGGCAGATGCGCAGAGTCAGGAGGATGATAGTGATTATGACAACAATGCGGATGAGTCTGGGGATGACACACCCTTCCATGATGAGGGTGATGATGAGGAGGAGGAACTGAATGTTGAACCTGAGCTGACCAGGGAGCATGTTCCTCCACCTCCCGCTAGACCAAGAGTGTACGAGTCCCACGTGCTATTTCATGAGCGAAATATTCCCTACCTTGATAATTTGCCAAGCATGCCTAACGTCGATGCCCTCACAAGGGATGATGAATAATTACGGTCAGCGATGTGGGATGAATCTAGACCAGCTGTTCTTACAAAGGGCATGTATTTCCCCGATAAAGCTCGCCTAATTAGGCCTGTAAAAATCTACAGTATAAGAGAGTGTCGTGAGATGACAGTAAGTGAGTCAACTATGGAGAAATACAAGGCTGTATGCCGTAGGTGGTTTATGGGTTGTCACTGGATGCTGCGTGCCACAAAGAAGAAATCAGGTTTGTGGAAAGTGGGTAAATTTATTAGCGAGCACAGATGTGAAATGGACACATTCAATGAGAATCACTTCAACTTGGATGTGGACTTGATTTCCCTTGTCTTGATTCCATTTTTGGAAGTGTCCATTAAGTTCAAGATCAAAAAGTGTATTACAGCCGTCCACCAGGAGTATGGTTGTACTATAACCAAAAGAAAGGCATANTCTTAACCTACAGAATGTACTATTATTTTAAGTAAGAAAATATTTTCTCACCGTGGTCTCGTCGACCTCCTGGGTATATGTATCCATGGTGTGCTCATCACCGCATGTAGTGTCCTCAAAGATGGGCTGGGACGAAGACTGCATAAGAAAGTAACAATTAATTAATGGCAGCTATTTAAGGAAAAGAAAACAAATTGAAATATTAAAGTAATACAAACATACCGCCGCCTGTGGTAGATCCGCATGAACTGCCGGGGACGATGGATAACTCAACCTGCGTCCGCCATCCACATCCCGGGCCGGCCGATCCTCAGCTGCGGTAGATGGGCATGCGAAGTACTGATCTACATCCCCGTCGAATGTACCCATGATCGACAATGCTCCTGACGGGGTGACCTGCGATGATGGCAAAGGTAGCTGAAGGCTATACGAAGGCATGCTGCTGGAAGGCTCATCTGCATGAGGCATATAACCCTGCTGATCATCTCCAAAGCCCCCAACTCCGAAGTCCTCGCCATGTCCCTCAGCAGGTGGGTCGACAGGTACCTCAACACCCCCTTGCTGACCACCTCCTCGCCGTCCCCTGCGACCCCGTGGGGCACCCCTGCCTCGTGGGGCACCCCTTCCTGGTGCCCTACTCCTGGCTCGTGGGACTGGCCTACCCCGCTGGTAGGCCTCTGGAGCCACATACTGAGGCTCATGGTTTAACCTCTCGGCATCTCTCGCCTGCAACAGTGTCAGACGAGCCATCTGAGCCACCTGCCGGCCATACTCAACCACTTCAGGGTCGGCACGCTGCTGCATCTCCTGTCCCAACTGGTAGATGCGATGATGCCCAATAGCCTATGAAACATTTAAAATAGTAATTAAATAACGCTATATCACAATTATAAGATATTAATAAGCCACAAAAACATACCAGTGCCTCGTGCCTCCCGGCGTACGGTCTGTAGCGCTCGCCAAGTACACATGAACGGGGTTGCCGATCATCATTCGGGTCTGACGGCGGTACCACTCAGCATACAGATGAATAGAGGCCTCCTGGAAAACTGTAGGTGGTAGCGGAATGTGCACAGCTCGGTCCTCCCAATAAGCTATCTGCTGTTGTAGCCATCCAATATACTACCGGTCCATGCTGGCACGGTCGTCCCATTGATAGTGTGTAGCCTCCCATCCAGGCTCCCTCGGTATAGGCTGAGGAAGGCCAAACTGTCGAAGCACACGCTCCGTGGCATGATACTCAACGTGATCCCAGAAGATCATCGGGACGGAGGTGCTCCAAATCAGCCGGTCGACTGAGCAACAAGCGGGTAGCTGACCAAGCAACTCGATGTTGTATGGCGTCCAGATGAACTGCCAAATAATAACATAAAAATGAGTACACAAAACACAACTCAATTTAAAACAACCAAGTGTAGGTACATATTTACCTGTCCGTCCACCCACATATCTAACACATCCCTGAGAAGGGGGAGATTATGATGAGCATTCGTCCCTCGGTAGTTCCCACGCCGGAGAATCCACCTGATAGCTAGAGGGAGAAGCGGATAATCCTCACCGGGCGGAAGTGGTGGTAGAGGTGGCTGCAACGGCATGATCCGCTGCCAGGCCCAAAGCTAAGATAAAATGTTGATGTAAATTTATGAGTCATTTCACGATATAGAATTTGGAGTAAAGAAGAAAGTATTCGGAAATTTATTGCACCTGTAGGAGGGGCAGAAAACCACATATATCAACCGCTGGACCTATGCTCGCCCGGCACATGCTCCTATACAGATATGCCAGAACAGTAGCACCCCAACTGTACTGGGGTAGCTCATCCAGCTGCTCAAGACAATGGAGAAAGCGCATACTCACTGTACTCCCCGAAGTGTCCGAGAACAAGACACACCCGAAAAGCAGGAGCAACGCCAACCGAGTGTACCTCTGAATCCAAAGATGCTCTGTCTTGTGGGTAATATCTGGGTGCAAATCCGCCATCTGATCTCTAATGAATGACAAAGCAACGCGACTGCCACCCCGGTCACCCTGAGGTCTAGAACCAGTCAACTGCCCCATCATATCCGCCAACTGTGCACGTGTCATCCCTCTCCAGTGGTGGGGCAGTGCGAAGGCGCGTCCCTCTACACGCAGTCCGTATAAAACCTGGACATCCTGCAGCGTGATAGTGGCCTCTCCAGTGGGCAAGTGAAATGTATGCGTCTCCATATGCCACCGCTCTACCAAGGCCGTGATGAGCGACCAATCAAGCTGCATCCGTCCAAGCTCAAAAATGGTATATAATCCCGTAGTCTGGAGGCTCTCTACTACGCGCTCATGGAAATGATGCCCCGCAATAAACTCGCACAAATCATCAGGCCTCCTGGGGCGGAGAGCCTGCATCGATAGTTGTCCCTCCCAAATATGGGAGGACCTATGGTCGCCCTGCAACACTAGTAGCTGATCCTCGGCAGGTCCAGGATGCGCTGGCGGAGGAAAGGCCATGTCGTCTACTATAATTTAAACAAAATTAATTATTTGTGTTAGTGTAATAAATTAAATAATTAAGTATGATTAATATTGGAGAGAATAGTTATGTATGGGTTCCAGACTTGATTTTTGAGGCGCGGTAGCACCGAGTTATCCTTAATTATTATGCGTCTACATTTCAACATTTTTAGAATTTTGTTACCTTAAAGATCTAAATTATTAATTTTTGAATTGGAGTAAATAATTATGTATGGGTTCCAGGCTTGATTTTTGAGGCCCGGTAGCACCGAGTTATCCTTAATTATTATGCATCTCAATTTCAACATTTTAAGTATTTTAGTTAACTTAAGACTTAAATTATAATTTTGAATTGAGTAAATATTATGGTACTGGGTTCCAGGCTTGATTTTTTAGGCCCGGTAGCACCGAATAATCCTTATTTATTATGCGTCTCAATTTCAACATTTTTAGAATTTTGTTAACTTAATAAATTAAATTATAAATTTTTGAATTGGAGATAATAATTATGTATGGGTTCCAGGCTTGATTTTTGAGGCCCGGTAGCAACGAGTTATCCTTAATTGTTATGCGTCTCAATTTCAACATTTTTAGAATTTTGTTAACTTAATAAATTAAATTATAAATTTTGAATTGGATATAATAGTTATTTATGGGTTCCAGGCTTGATTTTTGAGGCCCGGTACCACCGAATAATCCTTAATTATTATGCGTCTCAATTTCAATATTTTTTAAATTTTGTTAACTTAATAAATTAAATTATAATTTTTTGTAATTGGAGATAATAGTTATGTATGGGTTCCAGGCTTGATTTTTGAGGCCCGGTACCACCGAATAATCCTTAATTATTATGCGTCTCAATTTCAATACTTTTAAAATTTTGTTAACTTAATAAATTAAATTATAAATTTTTGTAATTGGAGATAATAGTTATGTATGGGTTCCAGGCTTGATTTTTGAGGCCCGGCAGCACCGACTTATCCTTAATTATTATGTGTCTCAATTTCAACAATTTTAGAATTTTGTTAACTTAATAAATTAAATAATTAATTATGTTTAATATTGGAGATAATAATTATGTATGGGTTCCAGGCTTGATTTTTTAGGCCCGGTAGCACCGAGTTATCCTTAATTATTATGCGTCTCAATTTCAACATTTTTAGAATTTTGTTAACTTAATAAATTAAATTATAAATTTTTGTAATTGGAGATAATAGTTATGTATGGGTTCCAGGCTTGATTTTTGAGGCCCGGTACCACCGAATAATCCTTAATTATTATGCGTCTCAATTTCAACATTTTTAGAATTTTGTTAACTTAATAAATTAAATTATAAATTTTTGTAATTGGAGATAATAGTTATGTATGGGTTCCAGGCTTGATTTTTGAGGCCCGGTACCACCGAATAATCCTTAATTATTATGCGTCTCAATTTCAATATTTTTAGAATTTTGTTAACTTAATAAATTAAATTATAAATTTTTGTAATTGGAGATAATAGTTATGTATGGGTTCCAGGCTTGATTTTTGAGGCCCGGTACCACCGAATAATCCTTAATTATTATGCGTCTCAATTTCAACATTTTTAAAATTTTGTTAACTTAATAAATTAAATAATTAATTATGTTTAATATTGGAGATAATAATTATGTATGGGTTCCAGGCTTGATTTTTGAGGCCCGGTAGAACCGACTTATCCTTAATTATTATGCGTCTCAATTTCAACATTTTTAGAATTTTGTTAACTTAATAAATTAAATTATAAATTTTTGAATTGGAGATAATAGTTATGTATGGGTTCCAGGCTTGATTTTTTTAGGCCCGGTAGCACCGAATAATCCTTAATTATTATGCGTCTCAATTTCAACATTTTTAAAATTTTGTTAACTTAATAAATTAAATAATTGATTATGTTTAATATTGGAGATAATAATTATGTATAGGTTCCAGGCTGGATTTTTGAGGCCCGGCAGCACCGACTTATCCTTAATTGTTGTTTGTCTCAATTTCAACATTTTTAGAATTTTATTAACTTAATAAATTAAATAATTAATTATATTTAATATTGGAGATAATAATTATGTATGGGTTCCAGGCTTGATTTTTTAGGCCCGGTAGCACCGACTTATCCTTAATTATTATGCGTCTCAATTTCAACATTTTTAGAATTTTGTTAACTTAATAAATTAAATTATAAATTTTTGAATTGGAGATAATAGTTATGTATGGGTTCCAGGCTTGATTTTTGAGGCCCGGTACCACCGAATAATCCTTAATTATTATGCGTCTCAATTTCAACATTTTTAGAATTTTGTTAACTTAATAAATTAAATTATAAATTTTTGTAATTGGAGATAATGTTATTTATGGGTTCCGGGCTTGATTTTTGAGGCCCGGTACCACCGAATAATCCTTAATTATTATGCGTCTCAATTTCAATATTTTTAGAATTTTGTTAGCTATTGAGACTCTACGCTAAAAGGCTCTACATTTTACTACGCTAAAAGGCTCTATATTTTACTTCGCTAAAAGACACTATATTTTACTACGCTACAAGGCTCTACAATATGAACATAACATTAACAATACAAATAAACAAAATAAATAATATTATTTAACAATACAAATTATTTATCAAATTTTAATATAAATTACATAAGAATACAAATTATTTATCATATTTTAAGCATTTTTGGTTACAAACAAAACATAATTTCAGGTATATAAATCAAATATAACACAAACAATCCGGTAGCATTTTTGGTCACTAACATAACATAATTCGGGTATATAAATCAAATATAACACAAACAATCCGGTAGCATTTTTGGTCACAAACATAACATAAATTCGGGTATTAAATAAATCAATCCGGGTATATAAAAGATACAAAATTAAACACAAACATAACATAAATTCACATGGAAACATACTAAACATTACTAATATGCATGACTATATGAGTTTCGGCATAAACTAAATTGAAATACTTCGATGTAAGTTTTTTGAATATTATTGAAATCGAATTTTTGCACCCAAAACACGGAATCCAAAGCTTCTTTTGTGTGTAGACCTACACTCCTTGCTCTTTATGGGACGGGTGGGGCCGAATTTTTTTTTAAAAAATGACGGGGGGGGGGGGGGGGTACCAGAAACATTTCGATTTGTTTTTTAATGGAGGTTTGGACTTCTGTCTCGAAGGAAGAAGAAGAGCCTTATTTAATTAAGGCAATTCGCAGTATAGTACTGCGAATTACCAATTCGCGAATTACCAATTCGCAGTATTATACTGCGAATTGATTTAACGACAAAATTTCCATTAACCTAATTCGCAGTACAGTACTGCGAAGTAGCCATTTTTGTAACTTTTTTTTAAACATTAAAAACGTACTTTGTGTCTAAAAAGTCATTAATTAAGTTTCGGACTCCTTAATTCAACGACTTGCATGGTGGATGATTGTAATATCAATTAAATCGTGTAAATAAGCGAAAAATCGATCGAGATCAGAGAAAATTTGTTAGGTTTAGGTGTAGAAGAAAGTCTGTTGAGAGAGAAAGCGCTAGAACCTTTTCATATTGAATCAAAAATAAATAAACTGTTGTCTGATTACAAAGAACTATTGCTATATATACCATTGGGTCTGACCCAAGCTAATCAACTACTAATAAAGTAAAAATTGTGTGGGGTAACCACTTTTTAAAGTGGTATTTACTTTTTATCCAGTATTTTTAATGATTAGCAATAGTAGCCACAACTCTATTAAAATTAATATGAAAAGACTGTATTACCCTTTCTTCTATCTCATATAATGTTACAGGGTTTTACTGCTAGCGGCTTCATCTACATTTCGGTTGCTGGGGTGTTGGCTGAAATGAATAGTGGTGGCAGGACTACATTGATGAATAGAGTAATCCAACTTATGTCACTGTTATCAGGGATGGCTGTTGCTCTTTGTATCTCCCTTGTTGAATGACAATACATGCTACTTATCGTGTTCGTAGAGAGGGGTTGAAATCTCCCCCCATAGGTATAAGAACAGCCTTCTGGTGTTACCTGTTACGACAACATCCGGCCAGAGAATACACATTACTTGTCTGATATTAATGAAATTAATGAACATAGTGAAAAGTTCATCTTCATCATTTATTTTTCTACTTGTTTTGCTTGTCATGTTGGTTGTATAAATCAGCAAAGAAATTGGATATCTTATTGTATATTACATAACGAAATATAGTGGCACTTTTTTGTGAAAAGATACAAATAACGTTTGGTTTTTTGCTACGTTATGGATCATGAACTTACAGTTACAAGTTCAAAAGTTAAGGACACTTGGTCCTGAACTTAGAATTACAAGTTCAAAAGTTAAGCACACTTGGTCCTGAACTTAGACTAACAAGCTCAAAAGTTAAGGATGATAGGTCCTGAACTTACAGTTACAAGTTCAAAAGTTAAGGACAATAGGTCCTGAAGTCCTGAACTTAGACTAACAAGTTCAAAAGTTAAGGACAATAGGTCCTGAACTTAGGCTAAGAAGCACAAAAGTTAAGGACAATAGGTCCTCAACTTAGACTAACAAGCTCAAAAGTTAAGGACAATAGGTCCTGAACTTAGGCTTACAAGTTCAAAAGTTAAGGATAAGTAGTTCTTAACTTAGAGTTACAAGCACAAAAATTAAGGACAGGTGGTCCTGAACTTCGAGTTCCAAGTTCAAAAGTTAAGGACATGTAGTCTTGAAGTTCTGAACTTAGAGTTGCAAGTTCAAAAGTTAAGGACATGTAGTCCTGAAGTCCTGAACTTAGAGTTGCAAGTTCAAAAGTTAAGGACACTTGGTCCTGAACTTTATGAGCAGAAGGGTATTTTCTTCCCGGCAGGTAAAGTTTATTAAGCAGTGGCTAAAGACTAAAGACATTTTAAACAGTGGCTTAAAAGTAAATACATGTGTTATTAGTGGCTAACCGTGCACTTCCCTCGCTAATAAAAGAGTACATATTTGGGC